TTTTTTTTTTTTTTTTTTTTTTTTTTTTTTTGCAGTCGATAACGGAGTTCCACATATCGCTTCTTCATATCTTTAAATAGTTTACGTGCGGATTATTAACGAGTTCTTGAAAACAAAAAAAAGGAAAAAAGAAACTTAACAACTGCTTTAAATCTTTAAGTCGTACGAATAAATAATCTCCGCGACATCCGCGGGCGGGTAAAACCAATTTACTTGAAAAAAAAAAAAAAAAAGATGTGCTTTATATTTAAAAATTATACATGTTACGTGATAATGTCATGCGCACATTAATTCCTGCGTCGCGTCTCTGTTGCGACGATTGTTTTCCCCGTACATAATGTATTTAGTACGCGCGCATACGTAATGCCGCGCTTTAAACGCGGCGGTGTGTTTCGGTGTGTGGAACCACTGTATAAAACAAAAAATAATTCTCGTATGCAAATACGTATTGCGCGCACGCAACGTCGAAAAGTAAAACTCCGAGAAGAAATTGCGCGCCACATACAACGTGGACGCGCTGTCGGCGTATATTACGTGCAGGATCTCCTTATCAAAATTACGTTCAAATAGCGTCGATAAAACAAAAATGTAATTTCGCATTCGACAGAGTGAATTCAGTCGGAATAAAATATTGTCGCGCGCGCGCGCGTGCATCGAATACGACACGGATTTCGAATGTATACGCGATAGAACGCCAAAATCGACGAGCGTTGACTTTTGTTTCGTAACATTTGCAGAATTAAAATTGCGACGGAAGGTGTGTGGCGTTCTGTGTGTGCGACAAAACGCGCGATGTTCGAGTGAGATTTTAATTTAAAAAAAAACAAAACAAAAATGTTCACTTTTGTTCACGCGCGAAGAAGATACAGAAAAGGAACTTCTCTCTTCCCGGACTCGAGTTCGCGGATTGGAGTTTTTTTGCGCGTCTTTATCAAACGAACGGAATGAGAACCCCTCGCTACGAATCTAGACGTTCTTTGTTTACGATTGACTGTCGCGTGCAAAAGGGGGTCCCGGAGAGTCGCGGCACCGAGAGCGCACGTGTGTATGTCGAGACGCAACACAAGAAAGAGAGACGAGACGCGGTCTGTGCCGGGAACATGTCGCGATTTCGCGTCAGTAGTAACAATCTTTATTCCCTGTAGCGCCAACTTGTACAAACGGCGTCGTCTATATATAGGAGGAGTCAGGCAAACTTCCTTAAGACCGCCGCGCGTCCATGAGAACTTTTTAACCTCGAACCAACTTTCGACAGTGCAGAATTCTCGAACGTCGAGGATTTCTTTTTTTTTTTTTTTTTTTTTTTTCTCGTTAGAGTTCTAAATCCGAAGGTGTCCGTATAATCCCGTTAAGAAATATTCGCGCTGAAACTTTAATAAAAGTGAGAAAAAAAACGTAAAACCGTCTT